GTAGCACACGCGCAAGGAAGTAGCAAAGAGCAATGTGCTTCGTTTTGTGCTCCAGTCTCTGCTCGTGACACAAGGCAAGCATTGCCTTGTTGTCGACGTACAGAACTGGAGGAGAACGAGGCTGCTCCCCCAAGTCGGTCAGCAGGTAGGTCAGCCAGCGGAGCTCCTGTGCAGCCATGGCCCCAGCGTAGATCTCGGCCTCACAGCTGGAACTAAGCACAGAAGAAGAACGAGTGGACCTCCACGAGACAGAACCAGAGCCAAGACTGAAGGTGTAACTCTGTGACGAACGTTGAGTCGCCTGGTCGTCGGCCCAAGAAGCGTCGGAGTGTCCGGTTAGTACCACTGAACCCTTTCCTCCAAGCACTAGCCCCATGCCTGATGTAATGCACAAGTAACACAGTACCCTCTTCGCACCATCCCAGTGCTTCTTTCGGTGTCGACCGGGAGCCACGTAGCGAGCCAGGAGGTTGAGAGGGTACGCGAGGTCAGGTCGTGTGCACGTCATCAGGTACATGAAGCAACCTACAAGCTCTGGGTACGGAACACTCGGCTCTACGGACTCGTCCGAAGGTGGAGCTGAGAGCGAGGGGCCGGTAGACAGAGGAGTGGGCTGTGGCGAGGAGAACTGGAAGGCGAAGCGTTGAAGGAACTGGTGCACCATGTGTGACTGAGTTAAGGTGATGGTGCGCCGTGCTCTGTCCCGGGTAATCTGCAAGCCAAGATAGCTACGCAGCTCACCCAGGTCAGTGCAGGTGTGTCTCTCCTGCAGCTCCGCCTTCACTAGGGCCAGCGCCTCAGTGTCAGCAGTAGCAACAACGAAGTCGTCGACGTACACTAGAACGTAGAACGGCGGCAGGGTAGTGTCGGTGCGTAGAAATAGCGACGGGTCAGCAGAGGAAGGAGCGAACCCAAGAGCCGCAAGTGTGGTCCTCAGTGTGTCGTGCCACTCTACAGGCGCATGGCGGAGACCGTAGACTGGCCGCCGGAGGCTCGACTGGGTACCCGCAGGAAACGACCCAGTGAAGCCGGGTGGGCGGCGTAGCCAGATCTCCTCGTGAAGGATGCCCTGCAGAAAAGCTATGGAGAAGTCGAGGGAGTGCAGCTCGTAGTCACGCTGTGCTGCAACGTGCAGCATCACCTGAATAGTAGTCATCTTCGGGGTGGGGGAGAAGGTCTAGAAGAAGTCGACCCCCTGTCGCTGACTGAAGCCTCGAGCAACGTAACGCGCCTTGAAGGCAGGTGGAGAACCCGGTGGCCGCTTCCCTCTGAAAATCCACATGCCATCGACTATGTTCGCCCCAGGAGGAGGAACCTCATCGACGTAGGTGCCCATGGGCTTCCAGGAAGCCATCTCTGCGTCCATGGTTGTCTGCCACTGAGAGGAGTACTCACCCGCGATCGCCTCTACGTAAGAGCGCGAGGTAGGGATGTCAAGTGCATCCGGGTCTCCCTCAGGGCAAAGCAGCATGGATGCAAAACGAGGTAAAGTTGCCGCAAGACAGTCAAGCTCAAACTGTCTGTCCTCAAGTACGTCACTGCCAAGGGCAAGCTCACCCCCGACGGACGGAGGACAGACAGACTCAGATTCAGTGACAGAACTCACGACGTAGTCGAGACAACTCCTAGCTGCAAAATTGACTAGCTCAGTGACCAGGGAAAACGCTGCAGTAGACTCAAGGTCAGGAGAAGTGACGACAGTAGCGAGGAGACGAGTGACAGTAGGACTGGCACCACGAGCAAGGTCAGACTCAGGGTCAAGAACGTGCGGAAAAGAGGACGCGAGAGGCTCAGGCAGGACAACACGTTGTGGAACAGAGGAAGGACGAAGTGTCATACCGTGAGTGCCTGGGACAGCAGGAGGACGTGGACGGGCGACACGACGAGCACGAACAGGTGTGGAAGCACCAGTTTCAGGCTCACGACGCTCAGTCAGGGACTCAGTCACCTCAGTGTGAGGAGCAGGCGCAGGCAGCGGGGAGCCAGGTAGTAGCTGTGGCTGAGACTGGTCTGTCGGTGGACACAGGAAGGGTAGAGGGAGGCCAGTGGAAGACGGGAGACTAAGAACCTAGGGAAGGACCGAGTCAGGCGGCGGCAGGGACGACTGCGGCTGCGGGTTGAAAAACGGTATGCGCAGGGCAGTACCAGCAGCTCCAGCTCCTCCAGCACCAGCAGCACCAGCACCTCCAGCACCAGCAGCTCCAGCAGCACTAGCAGCACCACTAGCTCCGGCAGCGCGAGGATCTCTAGCACCAGTAGTACCTCCAGCACCTCCAGTGCCAGCAGCTCCAGTAGCACCTCCTGCACCTCCAGTGCCAGCAGCTCCAGTAGCACCTCCTGCACCTCCAGCACCAGCAGTACCACCTGCTCCGGCACCTCCAGCACCTCCAGCACCAGCAGTACCACCTGCTCTGGCAGCTGCAGCACCAGCAGCACCTCCAGAATCTCAACCACTAGACAATTGGGATAAAATGGCTTGTTAAGTCGCGGGTCAGTGCGCCCATAACACCCCAGGACAACGAGCCCGTAACCCTTCACTATGATCAATCGAGGATCACAATTGGACCTCTGATATCCCCCCGCACTGGGATGCCCGAAGTGCACACACTGGGATTCGAACCCGAAACCTTCGCTCTGATACCATGTCAGAATCCCCAACCACTAGACCATTGGGATAAAAGGGCTTGTTAAGTAACGGGTCAGTGCGCCCATAACCCCCCAGGACAACGAGCTTGTAACCCTTCCCTATGATCAATCGGGGATCACCAGTGGACTTCTGACCTGAGCCTTTCCAACCTCTCATAACGTATCCTAGCCTCTCCCTCCTAGTGGTACATAAGGCATAGGAGCTGTTCTTTCTTGTCATTGTTCAGTGTTGGATTCCTTTTCACAGTATCCAGCGACTCGTGCTGGCTGCCTTCGACGGCCGACGCTCAACAGCACCTCCGAAAATCATTCGACGGCGAATGGTGCTTTCACCAATACGGTAGCTGAGAGGAGGGAAGCAGTAATTTAATCATGGTTAGGATGGCTCATTTGGGGCGTCATTGTATGGTGTGAAAATTCAGGCCTGACAGGCCCTTCAGGTAATTTTCCAGATCATGGGTTACTGCAAGTTGAGAGGTTTCGAATGACGATTCTGCATATGCATTTGTCCACACACTCTGTTATTACAACTCATAGGTAATCATATTTACACGTAGAGTAATATACAGTTTCCAATTTACGACATCCTTCATGTTTCGGGCTTTTCAGCTACTGAGGAGCGGCACCTGCGCTGACGACAACAACAGGCACCCCCCCACCTCTCGCGGAGCCTGTGCCGAGCACACGATCAAAGGTTCCAGTGAAATTGGAGTCATAATCACCTGGAACGGTCAATCTTGAATGGACTATGACACGCTGTTCATGCAAGGCTGCCCGACTGACCTAAAAATCTCCAGACTTATATACGTGTCTCATGAATATACCCGAAACCCAATAAAAATCTATTACTCACCCGTTTTGAGCAAATCAACCGAAAACCCCTGGTCAGGTGAGGACCTTACGGAATACCTGAAGCATCTGCACTCCAAGTGTTGCCTCTACCTACAGTTCTACCGCCAGGTACCCCGCCAAGTGTGTCCATCTGAATGAAATGCCCGCAGCGCATTCCCACAGTTTCCCGCAGCGCGCAAGAATTGGAAGTACAGAGGGACATTTGACTTATGCATGATGGAACCGAGTCATATCGTTCTTATAGCGCTTTCTTTCAAAACTGCACCGTACTGAACAGCTACGTAACACCCACATGTCGAATACTCATTCCTCTCATGTTCAAGAATTCTTGCTCAGCATAAAACGCTGCTTCATTTCTTCACTCATGCAATCGAGCATTCAAGCTGTGTTTTCCACCTCGTCAACGAGCCAGTATTTGTCCGCAGCACGACCAATTCACCAGCTAGGCGTTCCAGTCCATGATGGGGCTCCAACGTTACCTTGGCGTGTCGAATTTTATCTTGATCTTCACCGAATATGTCGGTGAGTGACGCGAATTACCTCGCATGTCCAGTCCATTTCAAGCAACAAAATCTCACGAGCAGTTCCCAGCTTTCTGAAAGTCCATCTTCCAAATGCTTGCTTCCATGCGCAGCGACAACCGCGGCAGCGGCCGGGAATGTGAATACCGTTGGCGCGGGCCCGTGCCCGTTGCCCAATCCCGAAAAATCTGCGACTCTCGGAAATTTGACGGGTGAGATAAGGAGGAGAAATATTCGCGAGACAAGTGGCGCCCGTGACGTGACGTGTTTCAAACTTCTTCCCGGCGCAGCTACGCACAGGCACCCCGGGCCTTCCATTTCTTCTCTTCTTTGCGCCTGTAATCCTCGAATCCCACGTCTTTCCTCCGCTCCTCTCTTCTTCGCGCAGCTATTCTTGCCGCCCGACTCAACGGATCTGAAATGGTTGGGTCGAAAGGCGACAGCGGCGCCAGCGGTCGAATCTGCCTCGCCATCTTCCAGTAAGCCCAACTGCCACCATCGCCATGAAGGAAATGGCTCAAATTTGCTTGCCGAATGTTTTCCAAAAGTTGCTTTTCCGTTAATCTCCCGGTCGTGCCATCAGAGGGTGATACCTCATTGTCGCTTTTCGTTTCAGCGTAAATACTATAGGATCTGACTCAGTAACGAGCTCCAGCCAGTTTTTTCCTCAGTCCTAGCTGGTCGTTTGAGCGGTCACCGTTGCAGGGTGCTATTATCTCTTTGAAGCAAATACAAACCCCATCCCTTGGCTCGTTTGTGCGAACCCTAAATGATTCCGTCAGACTAAACGGATATTATAACGTCTTCTACCATGCGCTCGTTGCCACCTCCAAACCGGGTGCGCCGACTACCGCCTACATCGCCCAAGGCTCGGCGGGAAAGGCAGGGACCGCCTTCATCATCAAAATTGCCGGCCCTAAAGCCAAGTGGAATAATAAAACTCTTCTGCGCCAGCCTACATACAAATATGCCTATAAGGGGATGTGGCTTAAAGCGAGTACGCTCCCATCCTCGATTAAGCACGTGCCGATTAAGAAACTGCTGGACGCGATGAGGTCGGTAGCGAGCAGGTATTATGGGGCATTCACGACGGAGTCTTTTACGGCGGGAGCAGCGAGGGGGCAGTTTAAGAATGATCCTCTTCCGCCGACGCCTGGTGGGAAAGAGGGAGACAAGAACGAGGCACTCGTTCTAGTTGGTAAGAACCCTTTGGCTCTTCGACATTTTCCGCCGCGCGATATCATGCAAAATCGCTTCTCGTTCGCTCTCGTTGATTCTGTCTCTTTCCCACCTCAATCTTCACCATTCCCACGCCTGCTCTCCCCCTCGTTCCCGCCCCTTGCATACTTGCAACTCTCACCACTCTCCGCTACCCTCACCGTTACTCCACCACCCTCACCATCACTCCCCCCCATCAACTCCCCATCTCTCCCCGTCATCACCCACCCATCCATCACGCTCTCCGTTGACTTCACTTCCGCGTTCGCTCAGGGGTGGTGGGGACGAATCTTACGGGCGATAATGTTAACCCCAGGGTCCCTGGTGACATGTATGGCTCAGGCTGCGTTTCTATTGCCGCTTTTCTGTAAGCCTCTCCTCCATTCCCTCCTCCATTCCCTTTCTCATTCTCTTCTCCCTTCTCTTGTTCTCTAGCTCTCTCACTGTTCCCGCTTTTCGCATCTCCACTCTCTCACACCCTCTCCTCCTCTCCCCACTTTCTCACCCTCTCCTCCTCCCCCACTTTCTCACCCTCTCCTCATTGCCCCGCTTTCTCACCCTCTCCTCCACCCTCCCCCTTTCTCCCCCTCCTGCTCCCTCCACTTTCTCACATTCTCCTCACCCCACTTCCTACCCTCTCCTCCTCCCCCCACTTTCCCACCCTCTCCCCCTCCCCCCACTTTCTCACCCTCTCCTCCCCGCCCCAATTTCTCACCCTCACCTCATTCCCCCCATTTCTCAACCTCTCCTCCTCCCCCCCCCCCTTTCTCACCCTCTCCTACTACCCCCATTCTCTCACCTTCTCCTCCTCCCTGCACTCTCTCTCCTCCTCCTTCCCGCACTCTCACACCCTCTCCTCCTTCCCGCACTCTCACACCCTCTCCTCCCTCGCTCTTCTCACTCTCCCCCTCTTCCCCCACTCCTCCCACCCTCCCCCTCTCCCCTCATTCTTCCCGCCCTCCCCCTCTCCCCTCATTCTTCACGCCCTCCCCCTCTCCACTCACTCTTCTCACCCTCCACTCACTCTTCTCACCTTCCCAAATTCCATATTGCAACCCGCTGCCCTCCATACACACCTGCTCGACTTCTGCCCATATCTTACTCGTCCTATCCTATCCTTACCTCTCCTTGCCCTCTCCTTGCCCGTTCTTGTCGCCACCACTCTTAGCAACACCACCACAAACGACTACGACATTCGTTACCGTGTCAGCATGAATACAAGCGACTCTGAGGGGCCAAACGAGGTTATCGTCCTCCAAGGCTTAGACGTGCCACTCACTCTGGTCAACGGAAGCGACACGTGGACCAATCGCACGTCCCCGGATGCTAATGTGGTTGGCAAGTACATGTACGAAATCACCGGCACAATTCCGGGAACGTACAAGCCGTTGATTGATGGAATGCTGGCTGCACCTCAAGCCTATTCTGCTGTGCCCTTCACCAGCTATTTTGACATGGGTGCGCTGAGGGGTTGGTTTGTCAACAGTACTCTGGCAGGAGAGAGGGGGTGTGCTATAGCTTAGAGGGGTGTAAAGCAAAAAACAGAACATGTAAATATGACGCACTCTGAACGTCAAATCTGAAAGCTATTTGTGATCTCCCCCCCCCCCCCACTCCTCCCCCTCCTCCTTCTCCCTATTGGAAGGGTCTGGTGTGTTGAGAAGGGGCCGGCCAGTGTGACCAATCTGTGTGTGTATTTTGTAATTATATACTTGTACACCACATATAGTATTCCCGATGTGCTTATTGCTTCCCCGTTCTCCATACGATCCATGAAATATGCTGCCACGTAATGAGGTTATGCACCATTATTCACCTAAGCTTTCCAACCAGAGATGCCCTTCAACAATCGTCCTTGCCTCACAATGCAAAAATATGCCCATTCTTAATGAAAACTTTATGTATTGTTAACAAAACAGCACATAAGGTACGTTGGATTCCCTCAGGTTTGTAAGCCACTCACGGTGATTGGTCATATGCTGAGTGCAGCCAGTATCCATGAACCACGCAGCTTCACTGAACCCTTTTGCCAACATACACACTCCCGATGCCCTTGCCACATTTGCCTTGTGAGCTCCTCCCAAGATGACGTTCGCTTCACTGGTTTCAACTTCCACTGCATTTGCTTTTGATGTTGCTGGTTTGTTCTATCTGCTTATGACCCTTCTTCCCACACTGAAAGCACGCCCCAAAACCTCCATATCCTTTCCCTGCCGCTGCTGCATTTACCATAGATGTGTAGCTGGTCCCATTCCGTCCAAGCTACTCTCCTTCATCAGCCAGCTTTCACCAGGTCCAAAGCGTGGAGCGTCTCCAACAGCTTGGTCATGTTCGCGGGTGGGTTGCAGGTTAGGACTCCTATCTCCACTTCCCACGCCTTGGGCAGCCCACTAATGATGTACCCCATAATTTCCCCTTCGGTTTCAGCTGCCCCCATAGCTTTGAGGTCGTCATTGTACCCCTTCGCTCGATTCATGTAGTCAATGACCCTCTTCCTTGGCTCCATTCTCAATAGTGTTGGAGGTTGCGTGAGGCAACTTTGCCCCCAACCACAGAAAGGTGTTGGCTTGGTGCTCACTTTCGAGTGAGCTGCAGGTTGGCGTGGGGTTGAAGGATTGACTTCGGAAGACCCATCGATTCGGTGCCACATGGCAGCACCAGGAACATTCGAGACTCGAGAAGAATTCGGTTCGGTGAAATTCGAGTGTCGAATTTCACCCCTTCGAAATGTTACTCGAACTTTCGAGAGTTTAGCGGTTCGAGGTTACTTGTGTTGGAGGTTGAGTGAGGCAAGGTTTTGCCCCCAACCACGGAACGGTGCTTCTCAAGTGTTCCAAGAAGTTTTGGCTTCACTGCAGGTCTCGAGAAGGTGCAGGTTGACTTCGAGAGACTTGCATTTCGGTGCCACATGGCAGCACAAGAAGAATCGAGACTCAGGGAGAATTCGATTCGGTGAAATTCGAGACTCGAATTTCACCCCTTCGAAATGTTACTCGAACATTCGAGTGTACCGCGGTTCGAGGTTACATGTGCGGTTCGATGTTGATTGCATGCTATAAAACTAGTAGCTTTGTATGCATGTTTCATACTGAAAATCAGAGTTTCCTATACACGGTTCAACTCGACACAAAATCCAGAGAGCTCCTATCCTACGTTCTAAGAGCACTAGCAAGCACATAAACGCATAGAAATCTCTCGTTACTTAGGCGAATCGCGCGTTTGACGGCTCGTTGGAAAGCCATCACTGTGCTCTATCGTTTAGTGCAACTCCCAGTTCCTGCAAAGTAGAGGAGATTACTCTACAACAGTGGTATCAGAGCTGGTCGGAGGAGTCTACGCGCGCGACAAGGAGCAAGCATGCCGACTTCAAGCGAGACCTCCCGCACTTCCTTGGATGGTGTCGTTGTAAATTCCGGCGAACCCTGGGCAACCGCGACGATGTTCGACACGTCGGCGGTACCGATTTTCACGGGACAAAATTACTCCGCGTGGAAGTTTAAGTTCCAAGTGCTTATGATGGAGCGGGGAAGAAGCTGGACGATGAGAGCGGCATCGCGGCATGGAAGAAGAAGGACCAAAAGGCGTTCGCTACGTTGATTTCGCGCATCGGCATCAATCTCGTGAGCTCGGTGCGCATGTGCATCAAGCTCGAAGCGTCGGCGCATGAAGCGTGGAAGCGGCTCGAGACCATCCACGTGAACAAGACTCTCCACGGCAAGATCCTAGCTCAGAATGCATTCTACACGGTGAAGATGCGCGTGGGCGAATCGATGCACGAGTATGCGACTCGTGTGGAGGAACTCGGGGAAACGTTCATGCCTCGGTGGAACAGTCACGGAGGAGGATTGGATTTTGACCTTGCTATGCGGCCTTCCGGAAGAGTGGTCGATGGTGATTACGACACTCGATAGCGTGCAAGACACTTGGACGAAGGAAATGGTGGTCGGTCGGCTTCTTCATGAAGAATCGCGTCGCCGACAATTCGCTAATGAGAGCGAGGGTGCCGCCATGTTCTCCGGAGGGAGTTCCGGAAAGAAGTCCACGTGGAGCAAAGGTGCGACGAAGAAGTCGTCCGGAGGAAGCGATCGCGGCAAGGGAAATGCATCGAGCAGCACGAGCAAGTGCCACTATTGCGGCAAATCGGGACACTTTTGGCGAGAGTGTCGGAAGCGGTCGAGCGATTGGACTCCATCGAAGGCGCGGAACCACGAGGGCAACGCGCACACGACATCCGGCGAGACGGATGATACAAGGGAGTCGATCGTGCTATTGGCCGGTGACGGGACCAACACTCCAAGTGACACATGACGCACTCGGCATCGTTCCTCACCAACGTTGGCGCACCGGGGGACGTTAAACGCGTCGTCTTCGGAAACAACAAGTCGCTACCGGTGGTTGGAGTTGGGAGTACGCGTCTCATCGTTGATGGCGGACCGGTTGACATCACGAACGTGCTTCACGTCCCGGGATTGAAGCACTCAACTCGTGAAGAAGGACGTGAAGTTGACAATCGATGGCGCGAACATGAACCTCTTTTGGAAGGGGAAGCAATTCGCACAAGGCATTCTCAACGGAGAACTCTACCAACTTAAGACGCACCCAGGAGCGACTTCATCCAACGTGGCGCAAGGTTCCAAGGCGACTCTCAAGGCGTGGCATAATCGACTTGCGCACGCCAATTACGACTCGGTCAAGGAGTTGGCAAACAAAGGACTTGCGAAGGGAGTCGACGTGGGCGCCGGCGACGACGAGACGGGCGTGTGCGCGGCGTGTGTCGAAGGAAAAATGGCTCGGAAGCCATTTGGTAGCCGAACGTCACCCCTCGCTAAGGACCCGCTTGCGCTTGTTCACATGGACGTGTGTGGACCGATGCGACATGCATCAAAGGGAGGAGCGCGGTTTCTCTTGGTGATGCTCGACGACGCGACGCGGATGTGTTGGACCCGAATCTTGAAGGCTAAGGGCGACGCGGCCAAGGCAATACAAGAGTGGGCGCTCGAAGTTTGCAACGACGACAAGAAGCGGATCAAGGTTATTCGTACCGATGGTGGTGGCGAATTCGTGAACAACGAGCTTGCAAAATGGATGAAGAGCAAGGGCATCAAGCACGATGTCACAACACCCTACACACCCCAACAAAATGGAGCGGCGGAACGGCTTAATCGCACATTGGTGGAAGCCGTTCGTTCACTTCTTCAACACTCCAAGCTTGGGAGCGACTGGTGGGGTGAGGCGAGTTCGCTAGCGGCGTGGATTCGCAACCGTTTGCCGACAAAGGTGCTCCCAGGAACGACTCCGTTCGAAGCATGGAGCGGAACGAAGCCGAACCTATCACGCCTATGCACCTTTGGGTGCCTTTGCTACTACCATGTACCAGATCCCCTTCACCACAAGTTACAACCAAAGGCTCGTGCGGCGATCTACTTGGGAATTGCGGCGAACGAGCGTGCGTGGCGAGTGTGGGACTTGAGCGACAAGCGCGTCGTCACGTCTCAAGACGTGGTCTTCGACGAAGACAAGTTTCCGACAAAGGAACAACCAACGCCGCAACTCACCGTCATCCTTCCCGCACGAGAGGAGGATGAAGCGGTGGAGGTTCCATCACAAGTGGAAAAGGAAGCTGAAAATGGAGGGGGAGAGAACGAGGAGAGCGACGACGACGTGGTCGAGGTGCCACCAACCGAGGCGGCAACTTCCTCCACACCTTCCTCCCTCCCATTGGCGTTGACCCGCGAGCAACGTATATGTCGCCCCAACACGAAGTACAACGACTACGCTATGGTAGCCGTTGGGGAGTTGGACGAGGAGCGTGCGGCATATTGCTTCGCAACCTTGGGTGATGACGCTCGCACCCATTTTCGAGGCTTTGGCTTCTCCGGATGCGCCACTATGGAAACAAGCGATGGAGAAGGAACTAGCCTCGATCAAAGAGAACGACGTGTTTGAGCTCGTCGACCCGCCGAAGGGTGCCTACTTGGTGGGGTGCAAATGGGTGCTTAAGAAGAAGTTGGGAGCCGATGGGAGTGTCGAACGCTACAAGGCGAGGCTTGTAGCTCAAGGATACACTCAACGGGAGGGGGAGCACTATAGCGAGACCTTCGCTCCCGTGGCTAAGGCTACAACTCTTCGGGTGTTGCTCGCGCTAGCGGCATCTCTCAACCTCGAAGTGGAGCAATTGGACGTTTGCACCGCCTTCCTCTACGGGCTTCTCATGGAAGAGGTCTACATGCGGCAACCCCCGGGGTACGATGATGGTAGCGGAAGGGTATGGAAGCTCAAGCGTACCCTCTACGGCTTGAAGCAAAGTCCACGCGGATGGTACAAGCGCATCGACGACTTTCTTCTTCAACACGGCTTCGCTCGTAGCAAGTACGATAGCGCTTTGTACGTGTTGAAGGAGGGGGAGAAGCAATTGGTGCTTTTGCTCTACGTCGATGACCTACTCCTCTTCTCCGACTCCAAAGACCTCATTCGGGAGGTCAAGCAACGGCTAGGGGCGGATTTTGCGATGAGGGACTTGGGGCCGGTCACGTACTACCTTGGGATGCACGTCGATCGTGACCGAGCCAACGGGACCATCCACCTCCACCAAGAGAAGTATTTGAAGGGGGTAGTGGAGAGCTTCGGCATGGGCGATAGCAAACCGGTGGGAACACCAATAGCTACGGGATTTTCTTGCC